CTCTTTTATAAGTGAGCCCGAAGCGTCCTAGAAAGTTTTTACACACATGCCCATCTGTATAGCGTTTAGATATACATGAAATAACCTAGAATAAGAAATAAGAATTAGTAGAAAAGATGGCAAACTTTTATCTCTTTAGGTATACCTTATTTTATTTAATTTTGTTTGGAAATTGATAATGCGCATGCCCTAAATGTTTTCTGTTTTAAATATTCCGGCTTAAGTTTTTTTTAATGAATTTTGACAGTTTTACAAAGAATTCGGGAGACTTAGTCATTTTTTGCAACAATTAAAACTGCCTGTTCAAGGTACCAAAACCACTAAAAATCTACTTTTTAACCATAAAAAACTACTTTTTAGTGAGTAAAATTTTATTTTCTAACCACTAAAATTAATAAAAACTAACAAGTAAGTTTTTAGGGATTAAAAAGTAATTCCAAAAAAGTGAATTTATTAACCGTAGCAACGTACTTTGGCTGTCGCCTATTTTAATAGAGTTTTTTTAAAGGTTAATACATTTTTTGCTATCATAGCAAAAAATTTCCCTCGGTGTACGTTTATTGTAAGTATGATATGCTCTAAAAACCGACTAGTGTGCGTACTTAAATTTCAGAACAAGAATTAAACAATTTGAATCAAAAACCTATGTAATTCCCAAAAGATTAGCGAGTAAAAATTCACTGCATGGTGTTGCCAGCTGAAACTTATTTTAAAATGCAACCACTTCACTGATACGGCAGATATATGACTGGCACATGTTGAGATATGATACTTATTATTAGGAAGTCAGAGACACAACGCATTTATACAGAATCTCGCAAATTGGCATTAGCACGTGCTCATCCTAGTGTTCATTTTCTAACATATTTGCATCGTATCGTTAGGGTTACGTTTTATTTTTTGTTAGAAATTCTTTTTGATTCAATTAAAAAGTGTATGAATACATTAAATTGAAATGGAAGATTTGTTAGATGAATGGGGCCTCAGCGGCCAATATTTAAATGTAAGTATATTTAGTTCACTTCTTGTTAGGTATTATTATATACATACCGGGTGTCCGCGCGAAAACTTTAAATGGAATTATTTCTGGTGTTTTAAAATATATCGACTTGAAATTTTGGAAGGTATTAAGGAAGTAGGGGGTAAATTAATAGTGTATAAGATACCACTCCAACGTGATATCTGCCGCCACCAGCCACCCCCGGTTCAAAAGTTTAAATGACACCCTGTATTTTTTTTACATATTCTGAAAGAGCGTAGCTTTTTTAGTATCTCTATGTGAAAAAATTACTTAATTACATAATGAACTTTGAAAGATATTTACAGCTAAAGGTTCAGATACCATATATTAAAAAAAAGAACTAGTAACCTTGGACAGTAGACAAATTTCGAAATAACTAAAGCACATAGAAACAAAAAAATCTAATTATCCAAAAAAATATAACTTATCACAAAAAAATACAACTTATCACAAAAATAGGTATTCCTATAGACCAACAAAATTTCGCTAACTAAAGTAAGGACTCTTTTTATTTTTTTAGTTAAATCAAATGTTCAAAATGTTCACCGTTTACATTTAAACAATAGTACAGTCTATTCTCGAAAGCGTTCCGAATATTTTCAAAGACATGTGGTATTAAATCTCTACATTCCTCTATGATTCTATTACGCAAATCATCAATGGATTGTGGTGGTGTCCTGGTAAACAACAGACTTCAAATGTCCCCATAAAAAGAAATCCAGTGAGGTCAAGTCTGGGGAGCGAGCTGGCCATTCAATAGGACCCCTACGACCTATCCATTGTCCTGGAAAAACGGTATTTAAATATTGCCTTACTTCTAAAGAGTAATGAGGGGACAGCTCCGTCTTGCTGAAAGTATAACTGATCCTCCTGCATTTGATCTAAGTTTTCTTCCAAGCACTGAATGATAAGAGGATGTATTAATTCTTCTAAAAACTCGAGATATCTAGGCCCAGTTAAATTCTCGTGATAGAAAATTGGACCAATTATTTGGTTATTTAGAATTCCAGCCCATACATTAATTTTTTGGGGACGTTGCGTATGGCCTTCTCGGAAAACGTGGGGATTAACATCGCTCCAATATCGACAATTGTGTCCATTTACGAAACCATTTAAGGAAAAGCTACTTTCGTCACTGAAACAAATATTTCGCAAAATATTTCTATTTTGCCGAATCATGCCTGTTATAGTTTCACAAAATTGGACTCTTCTAACGAAGTCATCGTCGCCCAACTCTTGATGAAGCTGTATTTTATAAGGATGCATTTTATTTAATTTTAATATTTTATGGCACGTTGTTTTTGCCACTCCCGAAGCTTCTGATAATTTTCTAACTGAAAGCTGTGGGTCTAAATTTACGTGACCAAGAACTGCAACTTGCGTTGCTTCATCTCGTGCTCCACGATTATTCATATCACGTTTTTTATTATTTACCGATCCAGTTTCAAAAATTTTTTGTATTAGATTAATTACATAAACAGCAGATAAATTTTTGTTAGGATGGTTTTCGTTAAATAATGCTGCCGTCTGCGAATAGTTTCTGTTTGCAATCCCATATAAAACTACAATTTCAGTTCTTTCTTCCAAACTGTAAACCATTTTTCTATTTTTTTAGCTATTTAATTTAAACTAAGTCAAATTTTTTCGAAAACTTTTGCACTAACGAGTAAACAGAAGTGTCACAAACAATATTATTTGACAGTTCAAGCAACGAAGCAGCTTTCATGGCTTGCTATTATTTTTTGCTTTAGATATTTGAATATCTGGTATCTGAACCTTTAGCTGTAAATATCTTTCAAAGTTCATAATGTAATTAAGTAATTTTTTCACATAGAGATACTAAAAAAACTACGCTCTTTCAGAATATGTAAAAAAAATACAGGGTGTCATTTAAACTTTTAAACCGGGGTTGGCTGGGGGCGGCAGATATCACGTTGGAGTGGTATCTTATACACTATTAATTTACCCCCTACTTCCTTAATGACCTTCCAAAATTTCAAGTCGATATATTTTAAAACACCAGAAATAATTTCATTTAAAGTTTTCGCGCGGACACGAAACAAACTGGAATAGAAGTTAAAAAATTGTATGATGCTGGATGACGACTTTTTGTAAAGACGACTTCTGCCTAGCTAAGACAAGAGGTCGTATCTACGCAAATTATGATTGCAAGATTCTTATAAATTTAATAAGCTTACATTTTATTTTATAACACAAAATAATTAAGGCCTATTTGCATTAGAAAATATTTACTATAATTATAAGAAATGGTTAGTACCTAAAATATGCAAAACTTAATTGCGAAGTCTAGAAGGTCATAATTATCTACCTACCCCCATTTACTAAAAATATTCATTTTGAAGATACGATCTCTTATCTAAGCAGGACAAACTGTTAAGTTCCATTTAGGTTTTATAGTTATAAAATTATTATTTTTTTTTTTTAATTATAGGTGAAACACCTCAAAGGACAGAGGAATTTAGTACATTAACTAAAAACAATTTAAAAAAATGTTTCTCGATGGATAGGTACCAGTGAGAACCCTATTTAAAAGCAAGAACAGCCTGTTCTTATTTCAATATTATTAATTTCTTCAAAGAAACTATCCTATAATTCAACCAACATCAATATATTTATGTCAAAGATCATATTATTATTGTAACAAATTTAGTTTTATTGGATTTAAGAACATAATCGAATTAAATTACGGGTTTTGAGCTTACATTAAATTGTAATTAGATGAAAAAAAGAAAAAAAAATTGGATTTTGTCAATTTTTCAACTTTGCGCAGGCGCATGTCGGAAATAAATCAATATTTTTTAAACGCAGTTTACGACATTTCAAAGCTTAGGAAAAATGCTAATTTTTATGTCTCCAGAGAAATTTTGATCCGATGCACCGTTCTCGCGGTATGGACGATTGAAATTTGTTTAGTATTTTGAGGCGACGAAGGTCGAAAAATTGAATTTGTTAAATGTTTAAACACTAAATTCTTTATAACATTGGTAAAAATTAAGATAGTTGAAAAAACAAAAATGAGTTTTGAACTTAAGGGATGTGACTAGTGATTCCCAGAAGGGGGCAATAGAAATCCCAAAATTGGGCATATGGCGGAAGGGCAAAATGCACCGCGGTCCTAATCTCATTGTTTGCCTATAACGGCCAAACTATTTGAATTTTTTTAATGCCACTTACAAAGCTTACTTTTAATTATGAAATCTTATGTGTGTGTGAATTTCACCGACATCGGACCATAATTAGCTAAGATATCAAACAATTAAATAATTTTTTTTTCAAAAAAAAAAATAATTTTTATTTTCGAAAGTTTGAAGTGGCACAAAAATGCCAAAAATGCACCCAATGGCTTAAAACTTTTTTTTGAGTACTCTATTATATCTAGAATA